GGTAGGCTTCACTATTTACAAACTGGATTCCGTTGGATCACAAACCGTTGGTCTCCTAAGAACACGCTAACATGATCGGCTGGTCAAATTACTTGATCACCGATGGAGGCGGGAAGTGGAAAACAGAGAATGTTGGAGGTCGCTATCCGTCCCATTCAAAGACTTTATAAAGTAGTTAGTTTACGCACCATTCGTTTCATTCTCGGTACGCTAAAGAAAATCCATAAATTAAGTTCAAAATTCCAGAATAATCCCGTAATTCATAAATAAAGGAAGCGCGACTAGAAATTTTTTCTTCTGAGGCCCTCAAGCGCTGTTCCGTGCCTGATGAAAAATTTATCATCCAAGCATGCTATGTAAAAATTTCGTCTACCCAGTTCAACGCTAACAACTGTTAATGTCTTTACGGTGGTAAAATCTTCCGAACTCCAACATGCAAACAGATGAAACAAGACAGTCACCACAAATCACCATCCGTAGCACCCAAGCCTTGACGACGGTGCTGTCGAAAGGAAAGTTCGTAACCGGTGGATTGTCGGCCTTCCCTTACACTTTCATGATCAGGCGACTTTTAGCACCTTTTTTCATTAAGTTAATGGTGGAACGCTGATCTCCATTTTTATGCCATCGGCCACAAGTGTCTTATTTTAAAGGCGGAGTCGACACCAGCTAGGTGGCAAACATAATGTGTAGTCTCCTGTAACCGTCTCACAAAATGGTACCATTTATCAACCTCGGAAGGAAGAAAGGTGAGCGTCGAGAACCCTGCTTCTCGGTTCTGAATGTAACGCTCTACCAACAAAGTTTAACAGCAACTCTTGCCGACCCATGCTACAGAACGACGAATAACTCATATGGCGATCGATGTATCGCGATACGTCTGTGAACTGTATATTTCAGAAAATCAGAACAAACTTTGTATCTGGGAGCTGCGGCATAGTGAGCATAGTATCGAAGTCATCGAGATTTAATTTTAACTTATATATCAGTTAACTGAGAGTGATTACTTGTTATAGAATGGAGCCACTGTAGCTTGGCTCAAACATTGCCAATTTTTACCCATAACGTTTCAGCATCAGGTGAAGATGAAAGGTATCATATAAAAAGCAATGTCGAATTTCATGATTATACGTTATCTGTTATAGATCAAATTACACTAAATTACTGAATTTCCTGTCGTCAAGCTAATCAAAAGACAGATTTTTGTTAGTTCATCGCAGTAGCAATGTAATAGATCACACTGTTCCTTAAAAGGAAGAAAACGCAAATGAAAAGTACTTGAAAAAATTGATGCTCGTAGATTTCCGACACGTTTTTACCCAATCGATCTTCCGCAGAACAACAGAGACGCAAGATTAGATCCGTAACGTAGGCCGAAAGGTTAGTTTCTGAAGGAATGTACAGCGTTTTGCGCCAATTTATAACCTGAAAAATAGCGAGATGTTTCAAAGAAGATCAACATAACGGCTAATAAACAAAAACGATACACCTAAAATCTTTACCGTTCAACAGCAGAAGACTCTAAAACAAAGACAAAATAACCGCAAGACAGAATCGTACGAATGATAAGTCAAGCGCTATGGAGAAACAAACGCGTACAAAACTTTCGATAGTGTTCCCGGAAAGGTGGTTTTGCACAACAGCACAGTACCTGGCGTAAGAGTAATACGGCTGTAGCACAATTACCTTCACTTGCGTCTCCTCAGGAGTGTTGGCGAGAAACGGGGGGTGTCCGACGACCATTTCGTAAAGAATCACTCCGACCGACCACCAGTCGCAAAGTTGAGTGTGTCCTATAAATCTGATTAGTGAAACTTTCCATATGCGCATAAAGGCAACGGTGGTCACTCGCCTGTCCGAAGAAGTACCTCCGGAGCGATGTAGTTCGGAGTGCCGACCAAGGAATGCGCCTTTCTGCGTTGTTTAAGGTGCCGATAATCAAGAACTTTGTGTTGCGAATGCGGATTCATCTGTTGCAGCAAATCGAATGAATCCTGGTGAACATGACCTGAAAATTCAACGATGCAAAACGAGTGTCTTTCTTCGTGACTAAGAAACGCAACGACGGCTAGACTTAGCAACCTTCTTCTGCTTGCGATACTCGTCTCATTCAGCGGGTAGCAGACTTTGACAACAATGTCCAATTTTAGTAACTGCGTGCAACGTCGTTTCCAGTAGTCTGATGTAGCATGAAATGGGAGTGGGCAGTATAATCATCGATTAAAATTTAAAAAAACAATTCGTTTAGTGTCTTGTAATCTTTTATGCTTAACTACCTAAAAGTTGATCCAGAAAGTACACGACCACAGTACAGGGTCTACGTTGTCTTACCTAACGGCGGTGTACGTCATTCGGCGGTTCAGCTCTGTCGGACTGCCATTCGGACGACAAGGCGTTTTCACGTAAAAGGTTCGTGGAATGAACTGAGAAAGAATAACAAACTAGGAAGTACCGTGGAGTATATACTACTGCGCCGCTGCGATAGCCGTGTATTCCTGTCAAGAACCTCGATAAAGTCGATTAACAATAATTAGGCTTTACAGATATTGCCAAGTATTGTCAGGGATTTACAAGGATTTGAGGCAATTTTGTCTAAGAGAAGAACATTCCGACTATAGATTCAGAGGGAAGGATTTGAAGTCTTCGTCCGCAATAATTTCCGAAGGAACCGCAAAAGCATGATGACGATATTTATGACCTGATGTGAACGTATACGGTTTTCAACTCGAAAAGGCTCTGAAAATGGCAGCTAAAGCAAAAAGCAACGCATGAGAAAAGCTCGATGAAGGGTTAAAGGAGTGTTGCGGAAAACCATACATCAACTTCGAAACGAAAGGTAAAACGGTAAGTCTGAAGGATAAATTAAACAGCTCTAGTCGAGTTTTTAACGCCAGAAGAAGACATACGCTGGTCACAGTGTGCATGTTTCGAAGATTTCCTCAACCTCGTGAAAGTGCAATGAGAAATATAACATGAACTGCCTTCAGAGGTAGAAACAAATCTTTGATTAGCGGAAATCGTAAAGGCAAAGAAGGCCCTAAAATGGTAAGACTCTGGGTATTAACGAAACAAAGATGTTTAGGTAATAAGCATACGCTGTGGCGTGTGCTTTCGTCCCGATGAAGATACACTGACCGGATTTTCGCCCTACGGAAAATTTTTTAGAAACCTTGAGACTCCATTCAGTGTTCATGTGTTCTGTGAACTTGAAAAACATGACTGAGTCATTCGCAGTAAATTGCAGATGTGCCTTCAGGAGTACGGGAATAATGACAAACTGTTGTAAGCCATTCAATCACTAGGAGTTTTAGCAAGAGCTGTGAAAATCAACTAGAATAAGTCGAAGCCGTAGGCATCGGTAGCTGTTTGTGTTCCACGAATGCCGCTAGAGAGAATGGCGAAGCAGCAGCTAATCTTTGCTCAATTTACAAGCACACGACTGCAAGGGAGGCATACAAATGACTTGTAGTAGGTGGTCAGTAAACCATGCTTCAAACTTGCGACGTCGTTTGTCGAGTTCAGGTACTCACTCCCTAACGCGATCGTGCATGTTGGCGAAGTTGCCTGACGCTGCTATCCTCGCGTTCCGTAAAAACAAGCGACATCGAAAGCTGACTTGAAATAAAAACCTTTCATCATGCTCCCTAACATCTGAACAGAGGATGGCGACCTATGGATTGAGTATCCGACTTATGACAGAATATATCTAACACCCTTCCGCCACTTGAATCAATCGAACACGGATCAAATGGTAACATCTGTGAAATACCGAGGAATTACTGATCGAGTTTAACAGTCATGTAAACCTGAACGCAGGATGGTACTTTATCAGTGTCATTTAAACTGAAACAGTGATGAGGATAAATAAGAAGTATCATTGTTGCATAATTTGTGTTTTGACAGCTGCCGAAGGTTCAAGTGAAATACCCGAGAAGCCCTACTGGATGTTGTCTATAGGTTTTCCTAACGATTTTATGCTGTTTCTACTTACGTAGGGTGATAGCGCTCAGGTTTAAAATAACATTTCGTAGAGAAGCTGATGGTGCCGCGGTCGGTTCATCCACGGAGTTCTCGAATCGAACGAACTTAT